ATAACTTGTAGAGGAGCCATCTTTGATAACTTGTGGAGGAGCCATCTTCGATAACTTGTGAAGAAGCCATCTTCGATAACTTGTGGAGGAGCCATCTTTGATAACTTGTGGAGGAGCCATCTTTGATAACTTGTGAGGCCACGACAAAATATTTTGGAATTGTTGTGTTGACAGAGACAAGAATACATTCTGAGATATGCTAGAGTTTGTCTGTGTCAACTTTATATCTGTTGTGTATTTATATCTTGCCTGAATGTTTCATTGGGATGTAAGTTATTCTATTTATAGCTGTACAAGCTGTGTGTGTTCTAAAATATTTTTATGTCTGTTGACACTGAGTGTGTTATATAAATGTCAAATATCTGCTGACACTCTGCTTGTTATAAAACATGTCCATCTGATGTAGCTAGACTACTTAACCAAGTATAGTCTGAAATTGGAAGCATATTCTATTTGTGATATGTTTAAGCAGCATACGCCTCTGTTTGATTTTGATTCTGCCATTTGTTTCCCACTTGATGTTGACTTGTTATTTCTGCAATGTCCTATGTGCCTGTTATAGACATACATTCTATTGTTACTGTGTTTCTGAATTGGTTTATTATTAGCATTTGACCTTGCATTAGTTTGGTCAAACATATTGCCTTAATTGTATTACCACACTTGGTTCCCCACATAAAGTTTGGATTTAAATGAAACAAATAAGTGTTACAGTTACTGACTTTGTGGAAAAGAGATGAATGCTGGCCTACGGCCTACTTATATTAACTGTACAAACTATAGAAGTGGGTGCCATAACAGGACCTACTTATATAAACTGTAGAACCTAAAGAAGTGGGTGCCATAAAACAGGACCTGCTTATATTAACTTATACCTTTGACAGTAGCAAGGTGTCACAGGTTTCCTAATTAATAACTTACAGCAGTTAGATGTCAGAGACGGCCCACTTGCAATTAATTCCATCTGTGGAATCATGTTTCCAGAGATGGCACACTTACCATCAATTCCACCAGTGACCAGTGGAATCATGTGCCCAGTACGTAGATGCCAGAGACGGCCCACTTATCACCAATTCCACCTGTGGAATCATGTGTCCAGTGTTCCACCTGTGGAATTACGCGTTCCACCTTTGGAATCATGTTTCCAGTGTTCCACCTGTGGAATCATGTTTCCAGTGAAATTAAACAAGAACAATTAAACTTATCAGCCGCGATTTTAATTAAAGCATACACCTCCAGTACCATACATCACCACTTGAAGGTACCATGCTTCACCACTCGACGAGAGCATACATCACCACTTGACGGTACCATAGCCCCACTTGAGGGTACCATACATCACCACCTGAAGGAAGCATACATCACCACATGACAGTACCATACATCACGACTTGACCAGAGCATACATCATCCCATGACGGATATTCAAAAGGGAAATCTTGAGTTTAAGGATTTGTTTCATTTTCAAGGAAAGTAACTGGAATAATAACTGAATATTTAACAACGTTTCATCCCTTCATTACAGTTATTGACTAGAAACGAAACTTTCATAACATATTTGGCCCTCTAAAAATCTCTTCTTTTCTTGGATCCAAAGAGCCAAGTTCCTCAATATCCTCAGGAAAGATGAAACTTGAAACAGGCAGAAGTAAAAATTGCTCGTGTCAAATACAAAAGTGGAATCAAATGAAAAAAAAAAAAGGATCATATTGCTTGTCAATTAAACCCCGAAAAAATGAAGTTGTTTGCGATTTTTTTCCTAACGTGATGGTAACCTCTCTATTTATAATTTGGTTTAAAAAAAAAAATTAAAATTTTTTTTTTTCATTTTTTTTAAAACCCATCCCACGAAAAATAATTTCTTATTTTGTTTGTCGTTATCAAACACACTGTTTTCTTAAAATAAAAGAGTTTTTGCCTAACCAACCAGAGACTAACTGGCTTTTTTTTTTTTTTTTAAATTTTTTTTTTTTAATTTTTAAATTTTAAAGGACATTTTCATTGACTGCACAGCGTCGTAATTTTATGACGAAAATTTCTCTCGACATCCGGGCACCTGTTATGCTGTGAGGCAAGTACCCCGGTACTCAAATGCTAAACTCTTTCAAGAAAACTGGAAATTATCCTTCTGAACCCACCAGTCCTCCATTAAAACTTGATTGCGTAACAATTCCTACCATTACGTGATGGATGCATGCATTATTTATTCATTTTTTAAAAACCCGCCATGGGAGGGGGGGGCTGGGGGTTAAATTATTCAATAATCGAATCTAATCGTCTGGAGAAATAGCAGAGAGAGAGTGAGCGAGAGAGATCATTTGGGCCTATGATTAGTTTCAAAGATCGATGTTTGTTGGGCATTCCGTATACTCGTGGCTCTATCTGTGCTTACCAGCAGGCCAGACACGGGCGACAAATGATTATTTTTTTTTCAATATTCCCAAATGCGCCTGGCCGTGCCATCATTAAACGGACACCCGTATCCGTAAATTTGTATAAAAGAAATTTCGTCGACGGAAAATTGATCGAACGGAAATTGGATCGAACGGAAGTTTGGTCGAAGGGAAGTTTGGTCGAATTGTTTTTCAGTTCGCATGAATTATCAGGTTGTTTTTTTTTTGGTTTTTTTTAGATTACTAACTAAAATTTTATGGTACGTATTCCAACAAACAGACGTATCTTTGTGGGTGGGGGGGGGGGGGGGCTTACAAAATCAAAAACGAACCATCTCACTAGTCTCACTTCAATTACACTTCCGGTCGTCAGCCGGTGTAGATTTTGCGTGGAACTGATTCATGGCCCTCAAAAAGTGGGATGACCTCTTATTTGGTTAAATCTCAGGATGTGTGTTAAGTGGCGCTTCTCAATTTAGGCCTGTAGAAATCAGACCTCTGGCTGCTAATGGCTTTCAATTATCCAGGAAGTCGGGAATCTCAGCACGAGAGCCATAAATAGTTCCAGATGACTACAAGACTACAGCATGCATGGTCAACCCCCCCCCCCCAACCCCACACCTCGCAAAAACAAAAATATAAATGTAATAAAATTAGTACATATCTTTTAAAAAATTAAATAAAGAAATAAGACATGTTTTATATTAAAAGATATTTTGATGAATCGGATCCTCGAGACAATTTTGATTGGCCATGGGCATGGGCACTTAGTCCAATGAAATTTGAGATAATTTGCATCAGGCAATATGAAGAATGGGTTTTTATTTTAAATTACAGGTTGCAGTTTTTTTTCTTTCCCAAGATTTAGTGAAGAGGGCTGAGATTTTTTTTTAAATACATTTTTAATTCATGACATCACACAACTGAGAATAAGAGATGGACTTTTCTTAAAAGTGCATTTAATTTTAATTCAAGCTTCCAACTTGTCTCGAGATTCTTAGTTAAAATAAAACACAAAGGGGCATACTCATTTCAATTCATTTCGTCACTAAAAATACTAACAGACGTTCTGAGTTGCATTGTAGTATTTTTTTGTTGTTGTTTTTTTTTGTTTTTTTTTTTTGTTTTTTGTGTTGGCCTATATATGTGAAATAATTTAAAGAAAAAAAGCAAATTGGGAACCAAAGAAAAAAAAAAAAAAAAAAAAAAAAAAAAAAAAGAAGAAGCCAATCAACCCTACCCTCTGGGAACCTATCATTATCATTAGAGGGACGCCGCTGTAGGGGCTACACGCAAAGGGAAATTACCCTTCATTTCCGAAAGGAATCTTATCAACACTCAAAGGGAGAAACTGAAAGGGAATTAATTACGTTTGATTTCGCCACAAATACAGATAATACATGCTTGTCTGCAGGTCCGGTCGGTGTTTGAAAATGACCTGGCTGTCGTTCTGACAAGACGACAAATTTCCCGGTTTGGGGCAGAATTTATTTGGCGCTAAAAACTATTTGCACGTAAACCTCGCTTGCGGCAGTCATGACAAGTCCATGGATGCTACTTAAAAGTTGAATACAATTATATGTGTTGGACTCTCTTCCGCCCGCACATTTATTTTTCATATTATTGGTTCCCTTTCTTTTGTGTGGGAGTGAGGGGGTGGGGAAAGGGGCGCTAACTAAGTATGTACCGGTTCAAGTACAAGACGTTTTCCTCACCGAACACAAGTTAGGGCACTAAATTTTGCGCCAGGTGTCTTGTAGAAGTTGTTACTTCAAAAATCATAATATATCAGAACCTAAACATTTTCATGTCTGACTTAATTACTACCATTTGTCTGCCCCGAAGCAGTTGAATTTAAATTAAGCTCATCAACATTCACAGAATTTCTTGGAGCTTCTTCAATCAAAGTGGTCTACATGTCAAGAAGAGAATCAGTTCAAGTAATACTATTACTATTACCAAGATATTCATTGTAGTTTATACATTTTTTAATGAGTCCAGGTGACACAAGTAGATTGGAAGAAAGTTGGCCTATAAGAATGTAGCCCTCTCGATTGCCTATAAGTTATAAGAATATAACCCAGTCAACTGCTTACAAGAATGTAGCCCCGTCAATTGCCTATAAGAATGTAGCCCTCTCGATTGCCTATAAGTTATAAGAATATAACCCAGTCAACTGCTTACAAGAATGTAGCCCCGTCAATTGCCTATAAGAATGTAGCCCTCTCGATTGCCTATAAGTTATAAGAATATAACCCTGTCAACTGCTTACAAGAATGCAGCCCCGTCAATTGCCTATAAGAATGTAGCCCTGTCCATACATCAGATAATGCTTTACATGGCAAATTCTTTTCTTAGCTAAATAAGTGCAACTTTAGGTATTGAATTATTTTGAATTAATAAGTTTATCAAAACGTATGTTGTTTTGGCTTGATATCATTTTTTAAAATCTTTTAATGCCCATCATTTAAATGGGTTCACGGACAGGACATAACAAACAAACAAAAAGACCTGATTGAGCTTAGCCAGACTTGCTGAGACAGGAATCAAGTCTTTTTGGTTTTATTTATGCAGACCACAATTTGTGTTAAAATAAACAAAAGCATATTTCATTGTTTAAAAAACAATTTATTAGATCCAAACAGAACATTGGAAATCCCTCATTATATGAAACAACCACTGAACAGTCATCAACTCTGGCCATTGTCTCACAGTGAGATTCATGAACCCAAGGCAATAACAAATCACTTGTTTCCTATCATTCAACAGCTCAATTGTTTCCCTAAAGAGTGTCCTCCTAGCTGTCAAAATTCAGATGTTAAAATGGGTCACAGCTCTATCTAGCAAAAGACCTCATGTGGGTTAACTTCCCTGTCGGTTTAATTATAAGTTTTTGGGTCAATTATAATGGCAATGACCACCTTTGAAAAACTCAGAAATGGCTTTTACTTTCGTGGTTACAATTTTTTTTTTTTTTTTCAAAGTCCTGAGACCAATATGTTATCACCATGAAATGTTAAAGTGTTGCAAGTGTGACCACCATTGCTTGAATGCCAAGAGCATTCCTTCCAGTAACCCACTGTGTTGCCAATGTACCAGAGTCTCACCCAGTGAATGTGGCATTATTTCCCAGCTGTTCCCACAAGTGAAGGTCAAGGACAAACATTCAGCTTAGACAAAGCTCCCACTGTACAAATTATGAAAGCCACATATAAAATTGATTCAAGAAAATAAAAAAAACACAAAAATTATGAAAAACTGTTGGCAAAAAAAACATGGATATCACAGGCTTTCCTTCACACATTAATTACTTGATTATGTTGTTAGTGCAGTGTCTGGTCATGTCAAGTAATTTAAGTCAAAATATAGTCATGCATGTAATTTTTAACTCCACTGACTTTTTCTATGAGTTGGGTTTGAATGCTAACAGATAACATGGGGCTGACTTTGACTAAATAATGTCATTTAAAGATTGAAACATAATTTAATCAAATACTTAACGTTCAATGGTTGGCAGCTGATTAAATTGTTAATAAAAAGATTCAGAGAAAATTAGTGAATAGTAAGCTCTCCGTTACGGTATGTCAAATTATTTGTATTGTCCATGTCTCTGATATCATCTTCAAACTGATGTCAAACACATATAAGGATCAAACAAAATACAAATTGGATGTGATTTTTTTTATAGATTAAAACAAATAATTACGGTATGAAAATGGTGGAAATTTAACCCCCCAAAAAAAAGATGTGGTTGGATTGAGTTGATTCCTTGTTGATATTTTTCAACAGGTAAGTTTTGTAGGCTTTGGAATAATTCCATCAGAGAGGATCTCACTGAACAAAGTCAACAATTCTAACATGTATAACGGGTTACTGATTGGGATTAGGATACTGATTGGGGTTCTCAGTGTTGCCCTAAGCAAACATTCATACACATAAATACAAGTCATACAACATTCAGAATGAAGTCACACAGATCAACTGCTTTTCTTAGTTTCTTGATTTAACTCCCACTATGTACAATAACAAAATGTATAAAAATTATTTATTTGCTCAACATAATCATATTCACATATGGAGTAAAAATTAAGTTTAAAAAATGAATCATACAAATAAAATATTTGATGGATGGAAAAAAGGAGGAAAAAAAATAGCATGAAAAAATCCCATTGATGTTTTGTTCTATGTTAACTAACGTCATTTGAAAATGGAATTATTAGCAGCAAGATTAGATAATCTGAGGAAAGATTGTGCACTAAATAAAAGAACATCTTTTACTGATTTTATGTTCTTATTTTTTCAAAAACATGATGTAGTATTTCCAAGGCACTAAAAGAATTGGTGCTACTTGTGTCAATGTTCTACTGGCCACTAGTTGCTGGCAGGCACGACTGAACAGTTCCCAGGGCCACAGCTTTATGGTGGGAGTGCTCAGTACAACTAATGAATCCATACAACTTAAGTTGAACAATTTCAGGCGTGAATAAATGGATCAAGTGAAAATAAATACTTTTACAAGGTGCATTATAATTTTGTTTTTCCATTTTTTTTTTTACCACAACCATACTAATGTCCCCACATTTTTAGAACAAACTCATACATGTCATGTCTCAACATCAGTTTCCCTTGTTCACAGTGTGTAAGTGATTCCGGTTTCATTTGAACAGTTGTTTACACCATGTGCAAAATTTAACTGGGTCAAACTAATATAGCAGGGGATGTGTAGCCAGAAGCTAATAAACAAAAAAAAACTCAATAAATCCAACAATATTGTAACAGCTACTGGAACGTTCCGGGTACAGAGAGAGTTTTTTGCCTTTTAATATACTGTGTAACAGAGTAGCTGAAACCTACCAGCTGAACATTGCAACACCAAGGGGACTCTGCTGAAGCTGATTTATTCCTTCGTGTAAACAAACAAAAATTGAAATTACATGCACTTATTTTAGAATGTTTCATCATTTGGTCAAATAGTGTATAGGATAGAGCTGAAAGTTTAAGGAAGAGCAAATGATCTACTTTAATTACCCTGGTTAGTTTGTAACCATGTTAACTATATCAAGTCAGATTTACTGACGCTATCCTTAGCTACTTTCATTTCTTATCTCAGTCACAGACAGCCTACTCACTTAATAGATTTTCCTAAACTTATGGGGTACCGTTACTTAAAATCACTAGGTCAACTGATGACCTTTCAAAGTCACACTATTTCCCCAGCTTTTTTGCTGTTTTAGACACTAGTACTATCATCATCTGAAAGCCCTTACCTCAGTAGCACTCACTTAATTATAACCAAATCTTTTGCATGTATTTCACAATCTGGCAGAAAAAGCTTTAGATCCTGTGACACCATATGTCATTCTCACTCTACAGGAAAGACCTGGGGGAAAGTCCCCTTGATGTGGCCAGGGTGAATGATTTAAAAAAGCTTTAGATCCTGTGACACCATATGTCATTCTCACTCTACAGGAAAGACATGGGGGAAAGTCCCCTTGATGTGGCCAGGGTGAATGATTTAACAATGGCCCCATTTCATAGATGAACAATCCAGTTAAATATTCCTTACATCATTATTAACTTGTCATGTGCAAACATCCCTCTGCATAGATAATGAAATCAAGAAAAGCAAGCCAAGTCTATAAATAAATAAGAACACCACAGTGACTAAAAGTAGAGTAAATATTGTCTAATATTATACGCAACTATTACACTGGTGAATCATGAAATTAAATAAATAGAATTAATCACAAATTATGAAACTTAATTGCAAATGTATTTTACATAACATTTATTTTAAAAATCATAGAAAAAACATTTTTTTGTTGTTGCATAAATTGATTTTGGACATTCCATTTGTGACAGAGCCAATGCCAGAATTCAGTATACTTTGTTTTGCCAACTATCAAGATTACTCAAGGATCTGATCAATTGCTATAGAGTTGTATCACAGATTACACAAACAAAGATAAAATAATGGGCAGTGGAGGAAATTATCATTAAAGACTATTGTTCTGTTGAATTTAAGGTATGCGCACACACAAACAAGCGGGAAGAAAGAATATTCATGGAAAAAAAATAAAACTCATGGAATGACTTTTACAAAATGTTTACCCCGTAAAGTGGGGGTGGCTCTAAATCATTTGCTATGTATTTAATTTGTTTTCAATTAGTCTTGCAAATTTTTTAACATAGTAACTAATCTTTAACTAATTTTGTTTCCAAACATCAGTTTATGGCACCAATGTCTTATTTTAACATTTTCAATTGAGGAGAAACCTCACAAACCTTTCGACAGAAAAAAAAATAATTAATTTTTTTTTAAAATTATTTTTTGTTAAAAAGAGATAAATTTTCCTATAGCAAAACTTATAACTAACTGGATGACAAATGAGAATCAACCTTCTTGATCCCAATGTACAGAAAATAAAAACACGCTTCCTTGGGATTTCCTGGTGAAAATCCTAACTGGTAATGCTCTCCTGCTCACTAACCTCACTGGCTCCTCTAGAAACAGAAATGTTATCAGGCATAAATAAAAAAGTTGAAAATTTGCCTCGTAGCATATTGTTATTAGTATAGTTGTAAATATCTTAAAAAGCTTAATCTATCCTCTCCCCAGTGACTTGATCCACTTTTATTTTACACAAACTGACCATTGAACAATGACTACCCTTTATAAAAGAGATATAAATCCTGATTAGAAGTTCTCATTTATCTCAGTAAGTTATAAGGTGAACATATCAAACAGCCACTATAATTCGGTAACTCTTCTTTATTAATTAACAACTGATACATTCGTTTAATAATCAACTTGGCCCACAGTAAATTTTTTTGATGTGGTAGGATATTTTGTAACGGACTAGCCTAACAGTAGATTTGGTTGATATGCTACAACATTTAGTAACGAACTAACTCAACCTTACATTTTGTTGAGGTAGCAAACATTTGGACTTACCCAACAGTAGACTTGGTGGATACAACATCAGGCAGGACAGTGGATGCTCCACTGTTCTGTTGCTGTGGCTGTGCTGCTGGCACAGGTGGTGGTGTGGGGGAGGAGGAGGCTGCACCTGCAGCAGACTGACTTGCCAGCTGGGCCTTCACTTCTCCTGCTGTTTTAATGGACTCGGTTGGTGACTGAGGTGGTGTGGCCTTGACTGTACCGTTTCCCCTTGGAGAACCAGGCACTGCCACAGTGCTACCATCTTCTTGGATTTGCATGTGATATTTGTAAGTATCTGTTGTTGGGATGATTTTCCCTACACAAAAATAAATAAAGGTATTATTAGAGGGACAGCAGTCACTTGAACACGAATCCCAACACCTATCTGATTTAACTGATATCTTTAAATTCCCATAAAACTTCATTTTAAAACAATGGAAACTGTTCGGTCTAGGAGCCCCTGAGGTGACCTGGATAGCAGCATAAAGTTTCTGCAAGTCAATGGAATCAAACATGGACAACTCTAATATTTGTGAGTGGCTACTATTTGAATGATTATCATCTTTCCAATTTTGACCAAACTCATCAACAACAATCTGAAATCTCTAGATTAAAATAACCTACATATAATACTGACCAGATGTTAGATTGAATGCCCTGCCTTTCACTTGTTCTTTGGCTGGTGACCACCAATTCAATATTGAGCTGACCACAGGCACTTGACGCAAGACTCCCTGGAAACCCAGCAGCAAACATTTAATTATTATTGATTGCTGAAATCTCACTAAAAGCATTAAAAAAATTACTAAAAATTATTAAATTATGTTATATTATATATCTATGTACATAATTTGAAATGGGATATTACTTTTTGCTGAAGGGTGATTATACATATTTCACATAATGCTGCAAATGAGACCGCTATTATACTAAGGCTGGTATGCAACCTAACCTCATGCATTAGTTTTTCTGTGTTTTCTTTCTCCAATTCTTTGTTAGCTTCTGCTATTCCTTTCCTAATCATCTCTGACATGGACTCGAGGAACTGAAATATAGAAAACATTAATTTAAACTTCCGAGATCATCTCGAAGGTATAAGAACCAAGGCACTGATCTGTAGACAACATTAATTAAAACTTCTGTGATCATTTCTAAGATATTAGAATCATGGAACTGAATTGTTTACAGCAGGCCTGTACAACTCAAAATGTGAGGGGGGTTGTAATAATATATGGAAAATTTGTGCTGGCCGAAAGAAAATAGGACAGGAGGGAAAGCTATTAAGAAAATAATAATAATCTATTTCATATATTTTGCTTGTGGTGTGACTGCTTCCATTTCTGGATAGCGCGCAAAATATAATTCCCAATAAATACGCTAAAAGATATTTTTTAGCCAAATAACGCAACTGAGTTTAGTGCGTAATATTTTCTTTTCGGAAAATGAAATCATCTCAATTTAATAATGGTGTAATAAATATTCAGTTTAAAAGTTTTTGGGACATTAGAATATTAATAAAGTTCATGGGCGTGAAATAAAAAGCGTGCAATGACATGTCATGGGGGAAGGGGTGTAGCGAAAATTGGGATTCTTAAATGTGCATTACTTGAGCTCATGTTTTGTCAAGTAACTTTTGTAGATGGGATGTTCACGGATTTTTGTCGCCAATGTTTGGCAAGCTAAAACTAGTAAAGAATATTCCGCTATTTCGCGGGTCGCATGCATGGCATACAGCATTGATTTAAACTTCTGTAATCATCTCTTACATATTTGACTCAAGGAACTGAAAACACACCAAACTTTTGTAATGAAGTAACAAAATTATTTTAATCATTTATTAAATGAATTCCTTTTTCAAGCACTTTATTTTTGTGGTAAGCTTTTCTTATTTAGTTTTGAAACTAACTCCTAGTATCACAGCATTCTATCTGTCATATCATTCCTTCTCTATTCACCTCAGAATAAATAGTGGAATAAGATATTTTTAGGTTTGGAGAAAAGACAGGACAATTACTAGGATGTTTGGGTAAAATGCCTCCTTCAGCAGACAAAACATTAAAAAATGATAAAAATGTAAAACTTATGTTGATCAAAATGTAGTTCTTAAAGTCTCTGTTTGGACTGGAGGAGAATTGGATGTAAAGTTGTTCAAAACCAAAACATGAGTGCAACATAATCCTGTGGTGAGTACTATCAATGTAAAAGAATTCCACATAATCCTGTGGTGAGTACTATCAAGGGAAAAGAATTCCACATCATCCTGAGGTGAGTACTATCAAGGTAAAAGAATTCCACATAATCCTGTGGTGAGTACTATCAAGGTAAAAGAATTCCACATAACCCTGTGGTGAGTACTATCAAGGTAAAAGAATTCCACATCATCCTGTGGGGAGTACTATCAAGGTAAAAGAATTCCACATAATCCTGTGAGGAGAACTATCAAGGTAAAAGAATTCCACATAATCATGTGGGGAGTACTATCATAGTAAAAGAATTCCACATAATCCTTTGGTGAGTACTATCAAGGTAAAAGAATTCCACATCATCCTGTGGGGAGTACTATCAAGGTAAAAGAATTCCACATAATCCTGTGGTGAGTACTATCAATGTAAAAGTATTCCACATAATCATGTGGTGAGTACTATCAAGGTAAAAGAATTCCACATTATCCTGTGGTGAGTACTATCAATGTGAAAGAATTCCACTTAATCCTGTGGGGAGTACTATCAATGTAAAAGAATTCCACATAATCATGTGGTGAGTACTATCAATGTAAAAGAATTCCACATAACCCTGTGGTGAGTACTATCAAGGTAAAAGAATTCCACATAATCCTGTGGTGAGTACTATCAAGGTAAAAGAATTCCACATCATCCTGTGGGGAGTACTATCAAGGTAAAAGAATTCCACATAATCCTGTGGTGAGTACTATCAAGGGAAAAGAATTCCACATAATCCTGTGTGGAGTACTATCAATGTAAAAGAATTCCACATAATCCTGTGGTGAGTACTATCAAGGTAAAACAATTTAAGTATTATTAATGTTAAGTTTAAAATCGTAACCAACAAAAAAATGAGAATAGAAATGGAGGGAAAATGAAAACCACTCATAAGAAAGTATTGGATTGATTCCTTATGGAGAATGTATTGGATTGATTCCTAATGGAGAAAGTATTGGATTGATTCCAAATGGTCATATGGTGTCGACAATTTAATTCATTTTCATCCTGTCCCTCTGGCTGATTTATTAGTGCAAGAAATAAGGGCCTTGATAGATACATCTGATATGCACCTGTGTTTACCTCCGATGAAATGAGATGAGCCCGGGGATGGGCTATTTGGTTCAATACTACCAAGATTGTCAATATTCATTGAGCTCATCAGATTGCCTTCTTCCCAGCTTACCTACATAACAGGAGGGGCAACTGCAGCAAACAATTACATAAAACATATTTTAACGAATAAATGTGAAGTCCTCCTGAATGGTATAGGTTCTCTTAGCGAATCCAAGGTGTTAAGTTTCCAGTACATAAGGGGCAAGTCCTAAAACGGCTTGGTTCTAAAGTGAGGAGAGTCAGCTTGAGGGGCGACTGAGAACCAGAAGGTCACATAGATTTTCATCCCTTCTAAGGACAATAAGTGGAGGGGAGATGAGAATATCCTGATAGTGTAAGGATCAGCAAAGAGCATATGACGATTCTATACAAAATTTTTGTTTTGGTAATCACGTGAGGGTAGAAGGTAAGAATGAGTTTAGTTTGACCCTCATTTTTGTTTTTGAATGAGATTTGAAAGCCTCATCATGAGTTATTTTGCTGAGATGATCGAGTGCCCAAGCAAGGGCAGCCTCAAGAACCAGAGTGGAAGAAGTCCCTCATATATAGTCACCTTAGAGCTCTCCTCCACTTCTTTCCCTGTACTGTAGACCAGAGAGACCAGTTCATCCACATCTGTGTCTGATGTAATTAGGCCAAACCTCACACATACAATGCCCTCAGCATTATGACCTGAAAAACAAAACATATCCTTATTAAACCATGACAATTATATAAAAATATAAGGGAAAAAATTATTAATTGCCATTTTTTCACTTGTGTAAGGTAAATAAAATCAAACCGATACATTATAATAAAAGTCAATCAAACAAATACAATTAAATTAAATTTTTCTCAAAGGTTAAAGAAAATCTGAGGTTGTTGACAATGCATTTGGACAGCTATAATTAAGATGTTCCACTGACCTGTTGAAAAAGCTGTGTCCTGCGCCTTGAGCTTATGAACCAGCTCAGAGTTCAAATTGTTGATTTCTATCTTTTCTTTATCCGTCAGGTCCCCCAATTTGTTAACAAAGGCCTCGGGAATGTAGCTGTTGATATTAAATACAGAGTAAGGTAAAAGGTTATTGTTGAAAGGATGAATTTTTAAAACTCATGACAGCTGTTGATGGTTTTAAAGGTACTGAATAAGGTTATCGTTGAAAGGGTGAATTTTTATAACTCACCACAGCAGCTTGGCCACATAAATATTAATTTTTTAAAATTTAAATAATCAGCATTGCCATAAAGGTATACATTTCTGACTCCTCATTTGGTGCAAAACAAGGGAATAATATATGTCAATCACTGCATTAACTTGCTACTGGTTATACTTGGATATGGCTCCACTTACCTGACAGCTCCTAGTCCTGCCCAAGAATCCAGATCCACAAGGCGTAGGTTCTTATGGTTAGAGACTATGTTTTTGAACTTTCTTCTCTGCACAGTTGTAGCATTCAAAACACTCTTTAAAAAACATATATGTATATATTACATTAAATTAAGAATTGGTAAATAAATAAATGTTAGCTCTACATAATTTCAGGAAAACAGAAAATTGTTTTATTTTTCTGAGGTGTCTGCAACCAAATTAATTCTCAGCATAATTTAAATACATAATTTTCTTGACTACTCATTTTATATTTTATCTGCTTTAAAATTTTCACACCTGCTCAAAAAAAATTTGATAATTATTCTAGAAACAATGAGTATATAATTGTGTCCCTTTATCAAATGGAAATAATATTTCAGTTGTTAGTCATTTTTGAGTCTTCATATATCTTTTCAAAGTCATTTATAGTGTTCATATATAATTTCTCAGCATCTTCATCTCTTCATTTATAATCAAATAACAAACTTACAAGATTAGATTTGAGAGATTCAACAAACTGCTCTATCTCCTCCTTTGTTGTACCTTTCACTGGAAACAAAGCAAAGGTTCATAAATGGACAAAGACTGTTGCAGACCAATTTAAACAAATTTTCCTTGACACGGTTTAAATAGAATCACACACAAAAGCTGTTAAAAGTTAAAACACATTTTAACCCAATTGATTGGGTTTTGTACTTGAGTTTTACCTTGAGCGGTCTCAAGGGGAGAATATCTTATACAGACACCTTCTTTGTCCACCTCCACCAGGTCGATGGGGACATTTGGGTTGGCCACCTGAAGAGCTTCAGCCAACTGAAAGGCAATCATTAAAAAAATTTAATTAGCACAAATGTTTCTGAGCAATTTGATTTGAATGCTTTGTTACTGGATATAAAAAATGTATGCGTTATCAACTTCGGGAGGTTCAATACATCAAAATTTAATATACAGTTACAAAACATCAAACACTAACTACTAAACTAGGAACAAAATAGCCATGAAAAAAGGTTGACCACAAATTATCAGTACAACTTGCAGCTGTTTGTCCTTCTCATGCGTAAGTGACCAAGGTTGTATTCAACTGTGAGTATGAAGGTGGCATGCGAAGGTGGCCAAGGTTGTATTCAACTGTGAGTATGAAGGTGGCATGCGAAGATGACCAAGGTTGTATTCAATTGTGAGTATGAAGGTGGCATGCGAAGATGACCAAAGTTGTATTCAATTGTGAGTATGAAGGTGGTTTGTAAGTCCTAAATGATATGTTTGGTTCTTTGTAAGCTTTTCCTTGAGCTGGCTGTTGCAGGGTTTTTAAATATTTTTTTTGTATTGATGTCGAGGCCATAGAAGTCATGACCATTATTGTCAAGAAAAGCATTAGCCAGCATTGCTGAGAATATCATGCTATAAAGTGTTGGGGCAAGAAGTCAGCCTTGTTTTAAGCGATTTGTCACCTTAAAAGCCACAGACACATCCACACAACACAACTTACCCAAGTATTGAGAGCATCAAAGTAAACTGCATCTTTATCCTCATTGGGATCTTCCAGTTTAACACCAGAGTAAGGGGCCACAACCGCACCTGGGCCAGAGTTGTCTTCTGCATACTTAAATACAACTGTTGGCGTCACAATCTCAAATACCAGCTGGGAGAACAAAAACAAAGTATATAGAGAAAACAATCAAATGAATTTTTGTGCAAATCATGTTGCAGCATTCCATTAAACACTATTTATTTATTGAACTGTAGTCTCTCTCTTTTTCAGTCCACTTCAATGATACTTTAGCTGTATGTTAATCAGGTTATAATTCCCATGGATCCCAGTAAGTAATACTTACAAGAGCACTTATTGCTTTTGTTATAAGATCCTTAACATTTTTTATTTCCTTTTCACGTTTCTTCTTCTCTCGACTCTGAAAGAAACAAATATAAAATTTGGAGTTGGGTAAAGATACCTCTGCAATCTAAGCCATAGTGGTTCATTTTGAAAGAATGCTTCTGATAGTCCTGCCATTAAAAAATTGGCAATGTGTTGGAAATTGGATATTTGGCGTGAAAAAAAAAAAAAAAAAAAAAAAAAATTTGTTTAAAAGGTTTTAAACTTATTTTAAATGTTTCATTTTTCACCCAATCTAATGGTCCAAAGTTAAACTCTAGTATGGTTGTTTTGAAATAAATTTTTCTTCATAAAAAAAAGGAAACATATATGTAAGTTAATGAGGGTTTTTTTTAATGCTCAACTGCAAACTTATAAAAATGTACATGCTCTTATCCAATTAGGTTAGCCCAGAACAACATAATTACAATGACTTACTATTTGTTTAATTGTAGATAACTTGTCCAAATTGTCAAAGAGAGTTTTAGCCTGTATAAACAAAAAATAGATTAAAAACTCTAAAATGAAGAGTACAAAGAGAATTTAAGAAATGGGACAAAATTTAAAAACTATGAAAAAAAAAACTGCAGTAAACAATTTTATACAATTAATGATTCATTTTAAAAACATACACAATGGCATAAGATCTATTACTAGATTTTGTCTTACCAATTCACATGAGCTTTTGATTCTGTTGACCATCCCTTCATGACCAAGACTCTGCAAACACATCCAAAGGGGAAGGCATTTGAGCTGGAGTTTGGCATCCACAGTGGTCAGGCCTGCTGCATCAGTCATGTTCTGGTCAGAGTCTTTAAAGAGTGTCTGATATAAAGTTATGGACTGAATGTTTGTTTACTACGGTACCAGATTTAGGCATCACAAGTATATCCATTGGTTTTTAAAAAAAAAAAAAATTATGGTTCAAAATGGTGCCATTGAAATAGAATAATATTTAAAGTATTTTTTTTTTTTTACAATTATTTTCAACTGTACCGGTATCTCATGAAATTGTTATTGCTTTACATCACAAAGTTAGGATAAAATGTATGCATGCATTATTCAATAATTTCATCAGAGATTAGGATAATCAGATCTTAACTGGGTAAATTTCCTAAGTGTGAATAACTACACTAAATAGAACTAAAATAAATGGGCTCTGAGACTTGATTAACTTTCCAGCTTAAGGATACAATGTAAGGTAAAGCTGGGACTCCCAGCCACTTGGATAAATCAAGAGTTATACTATCACCAGATGTAGCAGACTCCACTGATGTTGGTACAGAAAACATGGCAAGAGTTGCCAGGTTATTGCTGTAAAGAAACATTAAAATCACCTCCACAATGTGGTTATTTGATTAAAAATCACCTCGAGGACAATATGAGTAATTTGACATTGAATAAATTGTCTTATTCAACCAACAATATAATAGTTTTTTCAAGTAAATGTTTTATAAGATTCATGATGGCTTTTAATAAACAATACTTAAACTATTTATATGTATATATATATTTTTTTTTTTTTTTTTAAATTTGATTTTAAACGCCTATATCATTTATTGAAAAATAATCCAACATAAAGTTCTGGATGTTTGCCCATATTTTCATTACATAGGGTAGTCATCATGGAATTTTAATAAAAAATACTTAAACTATTTATATGTATATATATATTTTTTTTTTTTTTTTTAAACTTGATTGTAAACGCCTATATCATTTAGTGAAAAATAATCCAACATAAAGTTCTGGATGTTTGCCCATATTTTCATATCATAGGGTAGTCATCATGGAACATACCCTTCAACGTGGAGCCAAATGTTGTTGACTTTAGAGATTTCCTGCAGTCTTTGTAAGTTATCTACATGTCCTACAATAGGTGTACCTGTGGACAAGTGCAAGATGTAGAAACTCTTAGTTTAAACTGTATTTATGAATCCTGGTAGTGCTTATCGTTTCTTAGCTGTTGTTGGCCAACACAGTACTTTTTTTCCTACCATGTGTACATATTTAGCCACACCCTGGCATTCTTAAAGGATGTTACATTTACTTTTTTTTTTTTACTACTGATCAAAACTCTTTCAAAAACAAAATGCTACAATTAAGGATCAAGTTCATCTTCTGACAGTGAAATTATGAATAAATTAAGTGAAAAGGTGATTTTTGTTTTAGGAGAACAGGAAGAAAATAATAATATAACTCAATCTAGAAATTACAAGGGTTTGAAATGTTTATTTGCTATTTATAATAGAATAAATCATGTTGATGGGGAGCTGGTTCCAAATTTTTTTAACTTATTTAATAATACATATGCCTACCTGCATAAGCAACAAGAAGTACAGGTGTTTTAGCTGCAGCAATATCATCTTGTATAAGCTTTTCCAGCATGGCTACATCCTATAATTTTTTTTTTTAAGGAAGCATTTGGGTTTAATCAATTGTTAGTAAAAATGTTTATAACAAAATTAAAAATAAATCAGTGTTTAGTGGCATTTAGTTAATGAGGAGGTGACATATCAGCTGAATGAGTTAAGTGCAGTAAGACCTGTTTATCTATGTTTAAAATAATGATGTTACAGGTTACAGAAATAAAACTATCCATTGACAATATTGATGATACAGGGTCAAAATGGTGTGAATAAACACCACCACTTAAAAGTTTACTCCTAAGGAAATGGAACAATTAATATTGAACATTTTATATAAATAGAAAATACCATTTTACTGCTGGCACCAAACATGGTGTTACAAGGCACAGTACAAGTACAAGACAAAGGGAGACCAAGCTGAAACAAAGGTACGAAGATGTTAGAAAGTTTACTGGAGTCAATATTAAACTAATTAAAACCTGCGGAGAAAGTAAACAGTATTTAGGAAAATTAAACTATAATGATATGCATGATTATCAAAATTTAAAAACTTTAAAAGCTTTTCAACCTTTTAATACACATGTCAATACAAAAAATAAACAAGTGGGGGACAATGGTATAGTATTTTTTTTTTTTTTAATTGTTACCTGCTGGCATAAATACTGCCCCAGGCCTGGTGGGGCTGCACCACTAATGTAGATGACAGGGGGTCGTGAATAAAGAGCCTCAAAGCCTTCTGTTGCAAATTTAGGGTATTTAGTGTACAACGCCAGCTGACCAATGCGGGCCAGACCTTCATAACGTTTGTCATGGTAAACAGGTACAGAGTTCTTGAACCTATGAAACAAGAAAATAAGCTAACACTAAAACCTACCAAGCCATCATAACGCCCATTTCCCATGCATTATTTGTCAAGAAGGTAAAAGATATTAGGCCAAAGCACACACCACTGTTTTGGTGGTGACTTATTAAGCTTAAAAAAAATAATGTTCATAGGATATCTTGAAAAGGGATTAAAAAAGATATGAAACAAACCAATGTAAACAACTTCCTATTCATTAGACATAATAAGTCAGCCAACATTTGTACCACAACTTGTCTACACCGTTATCAAACCACAACTGACCTAAAGAGCCGAGACAACCACAGCCTACAATCAGAGTCCAACTTTGAAGCCGCCCTCTCTAAAGCTGCAGGTTCTAGGGTTGTGAAGTGAGCAGCCAGACTGTGAGCAGTCACAGTCAACTTGCCAGTCTCATCAAGCTCTTGAAGCTGTGCAGACTCACTGACAGAGAAGACGGGCATGGTGAGTACATCAACATCATTTCATCAAGTAGACACTACCCAGTCTAGTTTACATTTCAAGAAAATATAAAAAAATTATTTGGAGCATGAGAATTAAGTAGCTATACACACATAGTCACACACAAGATTAAGCCACTGAAGCAAATGTAGTAAAAACCAGTTCAGCATAACTGAGTTGAGCAGTCTACAGAATTCTCAAAGTGAATTTCTGTTAAAAGAGATTTAATTTCATAAAATCCAAATTCCTTGGGACTTGAAAGCCAAAGGGCGAAATTTAATCTTAATCAACTTAGCATTTTAATGTAGTCTTACCCAGGCTATGTAAGCTGTATGAAAGAAAGAAAAAGTTAAAGAAAAACGAGATGACAACGAAAGTGGATTTAAAGATACAACAAAAAAAAGGACCAACGTCGATACTTGTTCTAAAGTATATTCTTTCAAGAGCTCACTCACCTTGTTTTGGTCAGGAAAAGCCTAAAAAGTCTATATATAGCCCGCTCATAAGCTGAGACCATAAAATAATAAGCCGGTGTAAGAGTACGCAAAACAATAAGGACAGCTTTGTGTTTAATTCTAATATCCTTTTAATATCTTCATGGGACAAATAGTAGTGCCACCTACTTCTGGTACCTTTGTTTTATTAATATTTTAAGGAACTGGTAACTTATTCTTATTCTGTAGAGAGTACTGTAGACTAGGAACTCAGCTAGGAACAATAAAGATTTCATGTACCAGAAGAAAATTATAAAAATTATTTTTTTAAAGCCGAGGGTTCATTAGATGATACGAATAAAATCTTCAGAGCTCAAAGAATAAAAATACTGAAAAGGTAATATTACCTTATGCATGATTAGTTATGAGAACTTAATATGTAACATCAATAAATGCATTTTTTCATGAATAAGTCATGTTGCCTACAGCTGCTTATATTTTGTGCCTATGTAACCACAGAATATTATCTGGAATACAGTGTTGGTAGCTCCACTACATACTTGATAATGAGTTTTCATGATTCAACCGGAATAACAAGGTAAAACTGCATTAATATGCACAATTCAAAATGTAGTTATGTCAACTAAAAATATTTTTTTTTAAAATATTTGGGCCACAGGTATTGTCAAGATATTTTAAACACTTCACTATTAAACTTTTTAGGAACAAAATAATAAAAAATTATAAAATTGTATTAATTATGGCATCCTTCTGTCTTCAAGATACAATGGTGTAGCTATTGACACTTCATATAGATATATATATTAGATGTGAAAAAAAAGAAGAAGATTTATGAACATGGGCATGTTATTATTTTTTTAAAATGTATATTGATTTCTGAACATTTGGTAAGATAATTGACATCCTATCCCAGCTCAAGCAACTTTAAGTAACCCAGCAGAGGTATAAAAAAAAAATATTGATTTATTAACAGGTGAGCTGCAGATGCAATGGTGAATATGTCAACTTGACTCACTTGATTTGAACTTCGTCCTTGCCATCCCCAACCTCCTCATAAAAGATGAGCTGATCCACCAACTGCATGACTTCCTCTTCTTTCTTACCCCTGAGCAAAACAAGTTTTAGTTAAAACATGAAACACAAACAGCACTCACAAAGAGAAGAAATAATGAATCATTGTTTTTCAGGCAGAAAACTATTCAGATTAAAATGGAAAGAGAACAAAATAACAGTAGGCTGTTTCAGTTCTCTCTGCTCTTGTAGTCTGTGTTCTTCTTAGTTCGCCTGTTTGAAACCTAACTGCCAGATTAAATATTAATTAGGTGAACAAGCTAAATCTGTGATGACGATGAACCATGGTTTACGATGAACCATGGTTTAATTGAAGACATGAATAACATAACTAAAAGATGTCATCGTATCAAATGCTTTTTCAATGCCAAAAGTCTTGCTAAACCAAATTAATTTTTTTTAAATGTGTGCTATTGGTTCATCAAAAGTTAACTGCTCAAAAATGATACAATCCTCTTCTGCCATTGTGCCTCAGGGCAAACACATACATTTTACTTTGTTTTTAAATTACCTCATATAAAATAGAATTTTATTAAGTGATGGGAACATTACACTATTCAAATGTTCACATTTCACAAAATATTTCGACAAATTCTTAAGTACTTTACTTATCCATAGAATTTTAAAAAATATATTGGCAAAATAAGCAATACCATTTAATATCAAATATAACATTACCCCTGTCATTCTAATTAGAATTTAAGAAAAATATTTCCACCAAATTAATTTATATAATTCTCTTAACTCACCCTCCTTGCAGCTCTTCAGGAATGTGTGGATGTAAAATTTTTCTAAATCTCTGCTTTCTCTCAGCCTCTAAATCACTGTACATAGATCGAAAAAGTACATTTTCAGACATATTGCAAACACAGTTGATTAAAAAATTAAAGCATACTTCTGGATTTTACAAAAAGTAGAAATATAAATCCTGTTCTGCACAAGATCATTTGTTTCTTTTTATTGAACCACCATTGAAATGCCTTCCAAAATATAACTCAAGCACACCTGTTACTATGTCTGTACCTTTTTTTTTAAACAACTAATGCATGGCAAGTTTTTAAACAAAAAGATCAATATGGAATATTAGTATTGGCTTATGTAAACCAAGGCCTAAATATATGTGTGAAATAAAACTGATTTTTTCAATCTGTTTGTTACTGCCTGGAGTTTTCTTACAATCAAAATTTATTTGTTTTTAGAAGTTCATCTAGAATTTGACAACTCATTTACAATTATGAAATTTGTTTCTATAAATCTAGCAGAATTTAAATACATTTAAAACAATGTATGCTACAAAAAAAGACACACGATATCAGGTGGCCTAATGTTTTTTTTCAACATATGAAACTTATTTTTGAGGAAATGAATAGGCTAATTTTTTAATTCATGATGTGTTTATTTCTTAGACTTTTGGGAAAGAATGTCAATTTCAAATTACACAGCTATAATAAGTATTACAAATAATTAGTATATAGATATACAGCCTCTTCTCATTTTAAGAACGTTTGATTTACAAACATTCACATAACAAACATTACAATTTATTATTATTATTTTTTTAAAAACTTTTTTCAATTTATTTTATGTTGGTAGCATATGATTTACATAAAATGTACATATTCAATATTTTATAGCATGTCTTTCATATGCAAAAGTGATAGCTAAAATATAGATACTACAGATATGCAAATAGTGAATATTTAGGTGGTTTGACTGTAATGATAAAGACCAAAAAAACGAAAGTCCTCTAGGTTATGTAACTCGTTCCTAAATCAAGCAGTTGCCTGTATTGAAATTTGGAGCTTGAAAACGTAAAATAAGTAAAATTCTTGATGTAATAAGATGATGGTTCTAAATTTTACTAACTTTTATACTAAATAAACATGTCTTAATGTCTTTCATTATTTTGTCTAAATGGGCCTGAACTCAGTAAAGTGAAACCGAAACAGTGTATACCAGTACTACTGATTTTCAAAACAGCTGGCATTTCTGCCCTAGAAGCCAAGGCTGGCATAGGTTGATAGATGAGGACAAGAGCCATGTAAATTGTCAGGGGGGCTATCAAGGGTTTGTACTGGAAGTTTAATGGTAGAAAGAAAATTTAGTACAAATGATCCACTGCACATTCCTGTTTACCCATGGGTTAGTATCAGAGTAGTTTTCAGCTCTCAAAATTTAGTTTCAAGCTCCAAAGAGTAGTTTGGTCTATAAGTGTCATAGTATGTAGTCTTAAAAATGTAGTTACTATGTTGAAAGCGTAAGGGTATACAAGTCTGAAATGCAATATAACTTTTGTTTCCTATAGATGATGGATACAATTTTTCTTTGATGCAGATTGTTACGCACTGACTTGTATTGGGAGAAATTAATCTCCTATTTTAATTTTAATTGGCTCGTTGTAAACAGTGCCTAACAAAGGACGATACCATATAATCAACAATATTAAAAATACGACCCAAAACAGTTTCTAGTTACAATTAATTAAGATTTATTAAGTCTTAAGATAATTACAAAATAAAATAAAATAAAATTACAATCTTCAACTTACAGTATGGCAGATGTCGTACCGGTACACAGTTAATACAATTAGAAATAATGATGCCAATAAATAATGCGAAATAAACACATATAAGTAGGAGCACACAAATACACAAAGAATAAAACACGCCTCGTAATTGTTAAGAGAATCTATCTCAAAAATCTCCGTTCGTCGTCCGTGCCTGTCAATCCCTTATATAGGTGGGTCTACCGACGCCCAAGCCCTGCCTTCGAGACATTTCGAGAAAAATCCCAATCATTCTACCAAATACTATTTGGAACAGATTAATTATTTTCAGTCCGACCGCCACATTTGTTCTTTATGTAGTTTCTGGATAGCCACACCCCTTTGTGAACACAGCGTCTCATGCGGGGTAAATCAGAGGGCACGTACGAGAAATATTGTGTAAACAAGCTCTCTGTAACACCTCCCCTCTTAAAAGAAAAAAATTTCATTTTTCAAAAAAAATGGAATTCTTTTTCCATTAAAATTGAAGAAAGTACATTTCTTACTCTCAAAATATTAGACAAAAACTTCTTAACAGCTTATAAACAATAACATAAGTGAAAATTAATTTCTGGACAAAGTATCTGCAATGACATTGTCTTTGCCTTTAATATGTTTGATGTCCAAATTATATTCTTGTAAAAATAGGCTCCATCTTAACAATCTTTGATTTTTGGAGACCATCTTATTCAAAAATGTTAAAGGATTGTGATCAGTAAAAACAAGTACTGAATGTAAAGAAAAACTGACATAAAAATCAAATTGTTGGAGAGCAAGAATTAAACCTAAACATTCTTTTTCTACAGTGGAATAGTTTTTCTGATGTGAGTTAAATTTCTTTGAGAAATAAGAGACAGGATGATCTACATTGTGGTCATCTTCTTGAAAAAGAACTGCACCAATGCCAACGTCACTGGCATCTACAGCTAATTTAAACTGTTTGTTAAAGTCTGGTGCAATGAGAACAGGAGCATTAGCAAGTATATTTTTAATGTTTTCGAATGCTTCCTGACAAGCATCTGACCAATGAAATTTTGCATTTTTCTTTAACATATTACTTAAAGGAGAAGCAATAACTGAGAAATTTTTGCAAAATTTTCTATAATAACCTGCCATTCCCAAAAATCTCATTAACTGTTTTCTAGTAGTGGGTGGTGGAAGTGATACAATAGCATTTATCTTAGCTTGAACAGGCTTTACATGACCTTGACCCACTATGTGACCTAAATATTCCACAGTTGCATGACAAAATTCACATTTATTTAAATTTACAGTTACATTTGCCTGCAAAAATTTTTTAAACAGAGATCTTAATTGGTTTACATGAGTTGAAAAATCTTGACTGTAAATAATTACATCATCAATATAGGCGCTGCAATTTTCCTGGTCAGCAATAATGTTATTTACAAGACGTTGGAATGTAGCTGGGGCATTTTTCATTCCAAACGGCATTACTTTATATTGATATAAACCATCTGGAGTACAAAAAGCAGAGATTTCTTTTGCTCTGTCAGATAGAGGAACCTGCCAATAACCTGATAGTAAGTCTATCTTGGTTACATATTTGGCATCACCTATTCGATCTATAAGATCGTCTATCCTTGGAATCGGAAAGGAATCAGTCTTTGTGAATGCATTCACTTTCCTGAAGTCAGTACAAAACCTGTAACTTTTGTCAGGCTTTGGGACTAAAATACATGGTGAACTCCAGTTACTAGAGCTTGGTTCAATTATATCATTTTCAAGCATGTATTTTATTTCAGACCGGATTATTTCAAGTTTTTCCGGATTGACCCTATAGGGGTGTTGCTTGACCGGAACTGCATTGCCAATGTCAACATCATGTACAGCAATGTTGGTTTTATTAGGTACATCAGGGAAGAGTAAAACAAAATCTGCAATAACAGACTTAACAACATCCTTCTCTGACAATGACAAATGTCCTAGTTTCTTATCTAAGTTGGCCAATATTTCTGAATTTTTAAGTTTATAATTACCAACTTTTTCTGGGACACTATCAAAGGTTTCAGTAACATTTTCTTTAAGTACTGAAGTTACAGTTGAGATTGTGTTAACATTTGTTTCTGAGGATGGACAATGATCATCACATTTTCTATCAAAATATTCTTTTAACATGTTAATGTGACATAACTGTTTCTTTCTTTTACGATCTGGTGTTAACACAATGTAATTTAAATCATTGATTTTGGACTCAACAACATAAGGACCAAAATATCTAGCTTGTAGTGCTTGCCCTGGTATCGGCAAAAGCACAAGCACTTTGTCCCCTGAAGCAAACTGTCTGAATTTTGACTTTTTGTCATACCAAACTTTCATTTTAGATTGTGAATCTTTTAAATGTGTTTTAGCCAAATTAACGGCATTAAAAAGTTTAGTTTTAAATTTTTGGACATAGTCAAGAAGTCCTTCCGTGGGTGTCGATGACATCCACGTGTCTTTTAAAAGTTTAAGGGGACCGCGAACCGTGTGGCCAAACACCAGTTCGAAGGGGCTGAATCCAAGTGATTCTTGAACTGCTTCTCTTGCGGCGAACAGTAGCATGTTGATGCCTTCATCCCAGTCTTTCTCTTGTTCTAGGCAATAGGTTCTCATCATGTTCTTCAACGTCTGATGGAATCGCTCAAGTGCTCCCTGTGACTCAGGATGATATGCACTCGACAAGCAGTGTTCTATGCCCAACTGTTTCATCACTTGTTTAAATATTCCAGCCTTGAAGTTGGTTCCTTGGTCAGACTGTACAGACTTCGGAAGACCAAACAATGTAAAAAACTTCGTCAAGGCTTTGACGATGTTCGGAGTCTTGATATTGCGAAGAGGAATAGCTTCTGGGAATCTTGTTGACGCACACATGATTGTCAGCAAGTACTGGTGACCTGATTTTGTCTTTGGCAGAGGTCCAACGCAGTCTATAATAACGCGACTGAAAGGTTCTTCGAATGCTGGAATGGGTTGAAGAGGAGCTGCTGGTATCTTCTGATTTGGTTTCCCTACAACCTGACAAGTATGACATGATCTGCAGTATTCAACCACATCTTTCTTGATTTTGGGCCAAAAGAAGTGCGACGTGATTTTGTGATATGTCTTCTTTACTCCCAAATGACCTGAAAGTGGTGAGTCATGGGCTAAGTTCAGGACTTCGTTCCGGAATGGGGTAGGAACTACTATTTGATGAACTATCCTCCATTCTTCGTCAGCATTTGCGTCTGGAGGTCGCCATTTTCTCAAAAGTATGTCATCTTGAAGGTAATAACATATAGGGAATTGTTCAGCTTCTTCTTGGGTCAAAGCGTTCTCTCGAAGTTTGACTATTTCTGGATCACTCTTCTGTTCTTCAATAAGTTGCATTCGAGTTGGAGTCTTGTAATTACTATCCTCTTCATTTAGACTTGCAAAAAATGTTTTTCCCAGGTCAATTTCAGGAAGAATTTTATTGCGTTTTTGTGAAATCTCTTTTGTGGAGATCTTGGAACTCATGGCCCTTGTCACTGCACATGCTGGATACAATTCTTGATCTTCTTCCTGATTTTCATTTAAACAAGGTTCATGAGTAACGATGGGCTCGGCTATCACCTTCCCACCAGCTAAGTCATTGCCTAGCAGCAACGAGATGCCGTCCAATGGTAATGTTGGTCGGACACCCACAACCACAGGTCCGGAGACTAAGTCTGATTTTAGGTTGATGAGATGTAAAGGTACATCTATGCATCCCAGCTCTACACCTCGTAACAGGATGTTGCTCCCAGTAGCAGTAGATTCAGACAAGGGAAGTATACCCTCAAGTAGCAAGGACTGTGAAGCACCTGTATCTCGTAAGATTTTGATTGGTTGTAGACTGGAAAAATCACCTGGCAGTGATACGAATCCTTCCGATATGAAAGGCATGAAGTCTTGTATGACATCAGTATTTTCTGATGTAGAATTTTGGACCTTGGTAGGTAAACTCTTGTTGGAGTCTTGAGAACATTCGGCTAGGGTAGAGGAAGTAAAACTCTGGGTAGAGTCGTCAAAACTTGCACACAAGTCCTCAGTAAAACGCCCTCTGGAGGTAGACCTCTTCTTGGAGCAAAAGGATCTTGGCGACAAGCTCATAAAACTCGCAGTCGAAGCAGGAACTTGGCTGGAGTCAGTAAAACTAGCCTTATTGTTCATAATGGAACTCTTTGATGAGTCGTGACAAACCTCTTTGAAGTTTGTATGGACATCTGGAGAGCAAAAACTCTTGAATTTTGAAAATGTGTTTCCAGATGTATGACGAGACGTACAAGCGGAGACTTTGTGTTGTGTACCAGGATGTGTGGTCTTCTCAGTTTTCTTCTTGAGTTTCCAGCAATCATCCCTCGTATGTCCTTCTTTTTTACAGTAGGCACATGTGTCTTTTGCACCAATTTCTTTCGTACCGGGCTTGAATGGTTTTTGTGGAGGTTTACTGTAAGTTGATACAGCTGTCTTATTGTGCCTGTCATTTTTGGTGTCAGATGGATTCTTGGAAAGTTGATGTGAGATGGTGAAGTCGTCGGCTAACACTGCTGCCGTATGTGCGTCACCTTCGCCACGGTCTGCAATATGTATTCGCACCTCAGTACGAACACAGTTCTTGAACTCCTCCATCAGAATGAGGTTCTTGAATTTCTTGAAGTCTGTCTCGGTGTTGGTTGCGTGCAGCCACTTGTCCAGGAGCCGTTCCTTTTCCCGGAGGAACTCAACATGAGTCTGGCCATCACGTTTCCACAGTTCCCTAAACTTTTTACGGTATGCTTCGGGGACACATTCATAAGCCTTAAGTATTAATGATTTTACTAGGTTATAGTCCCCGCGCTGTTCCGCATTCAGGGACACAAAGACTTCAGATGCCCTTCCGGTCAAGGCTGGTTGAAGTAAGGTGGACCACATAGTTTCAGGAATTTTAAAATTTTGGGCAGTTATCTCAAACTGCGCAAAATATTGGTCAACCTCTTTTTCTGTAAATTTAGGGATTACTTTTGCAAATTTAATTGCATCGCAACCCTGACCGGCTGGAGCCGTGAGTCTATTTTCCATTGCTCCTAAATTGGCCGTTATTTCCATTTGTTTTAACTTTATTGTTAGCTCTCTATCTTTTTCTTCTTTCTCTCTCTGAGCTTTTAGCTCCAGCTGTTTAAGCTCTCGTTCTTTTTCTTCTTTCTCTCTCTGAGCTTCAAGCTCCAGCTGTTTAAGCTCTCGTTCTTTATCTAGCTCCAGCTGTTTAAGCTCACGTTCTTTATCTAGCTCCAGCTGTTTAAGCTCACGTTCTTTTTCTCTCTGGGCATCTAGTTCCATTTGTTTGAGCTTTAGTTGGAGCTCCATACTTGGATCAGTCGGTTGTGTGACTGAGGCAAGTTCATCTTCAGATAACATGTCTTCATCCACAAAGTGAACGATGATCATGTCTCGTATGGTCTTTTTTACGGCCGAATGAGCTACATTTATTTCTAGAGCTTTAGCAATGGAAAATAGCTCCTTCCTAGAACATTTGTCTAATGCCTCTACTGATGGGTTTTCAATATCAAAATCCATTTTGACACAGGCAAAATATAACAATGATTTTTTTATAAAAATTTAAGCTTAGTGCACACACTAATGAAAAAATTGCAACCAGCTCTGTTGTTGGTGTCGTAAAATGGTATCGTGAACTCAAATTAGTTTGAGTGTATTAAGGTAAGCAGTGGGTCAAAATCCAAAGAAAAACACTCAATTTATTATTGGTGTAATAAAAATTATGGATTAAAATTATCCTCGGAAAAGCCCACAATTTGTTAAAATTGGGGTCTAATGAGAATAAAATATGGATTCGGTTATCCCCGGAAGAGCCCCCAATTTGTTAGAATTGGGGTCTTGAGAAAAATAATAATATGGAGTCCGCTATATCCGGGACGAGCAACCCAATTTGTTACGCACTGACTTGTATTGGGAGAAATTAATCTCCTATTTTAATTTTAATTGGCTCGTTGTAAACAGTGCCTAACAAAGGACGATACCATATAATCAACAATATTAAGGATACGACCCAAAACAGTTTCTAGTCACAATTAATTACGATTTATTATGTCTTAAGATAATTACAAAATAAAATAAAATAAAATTACAATCTTCAACTTACAGTATGACAGATGTCGTACCGGTACACAGTTAATACAATTAGAAATAATGATGCCAATAAATAATGCGAAATAAACACATATAAGTAGGAGCACACAAATACACAAAAAATTACAATCTTCAACTTACAGTATGACAGATGTCGTACCGGTACACAGTTAATACAATTAGAAATAATGATGCCAATAAATAATGCGAAATAAACACATATAAGTAGGAGCACACAAATACACAAAAGAATAAAACACGCCTCGTAATGTTAAGAGAATCTATATGAAATCTCCGTCTGTCGTCCGTGCCTGTCAATCCCTTATATAGGTGGGTCTACCGACGCCCAAGCCCTGCCTTCGAGACATTTCGAGAAAAATCCCAATCATTCTACCAAATACTATTTGGAACAGATTAATTATTTTCAGTGGCTGGCGGTGTAAACAAGAAATACATCAAAGACCTAAGCCACACCCCTTTGTGAACACAGCGTCTCATGCGGGGTAAATCAGAGGGCACGTACGAGAAATATTGTGTAAACAAGCTCTCTGTAACAAGATGATCCGAATTCTGGGTTGCCAAGCACCACAAAGAAAGTGTCCTGCAGAGATTGTTATGTGCATTATTCCATGTTTCGATTGGGCAACTTTATCTCTCTGCACTGAAGCCAGCGCCCGGCACAACAGTTATATGTGGACATGAATGCCAAGATGGAAAATTAGCAATCTTCTGGGTAAGGTACTTTCAGTACAAACTCTGAGCTGAGGAGTATGGACATTTGAGGGATCCAATGGCAAATAACAGTGTAATTTCCAGCATCTTTCAGAAAGGGTTCTAGATACATACATGAGCATCTTTGGGGACAAAGCAAATGCAATGAATGGCAGCAAAAGGAGAAGCAACTTTAGATTTCCACAACCTATTCCAAACCAAGAAGAAGCTCTGGGCAAAGATGTTCTCAGAGAAACCAGTTAGGACACCACAGACCTTGACTGCAAACTTGACTGTTCTTTTTGCTCTTATTGAACCTAAGTTCTCATCAGACAACAAATAAGCCAAGATGACCTTTGAATTATGTGAAGTCTTCTTTTTTGATGTACCAGGTCAGGTGGTACAGAAAAATACTTTTCTAATGAACCTTCTTTTGACATTTGTTCGCTAGCAAAAACACGTGTTGGCAGTAGTCAAGAATTGCAATAACTTTGTTGGGTGGTTGTCCAACAGCCCATTTAGCATTTAAAATACATCTCAAATTTCTTGAGTTCATCACTAGCAACATTCAATAGGCTGACCTAGGGTATGCCATCAATTTAAAGTGCGTTGATTACGTGGGATGAGGCTTCAGTGAGACATCTGAACGACTTCCTATGCACTTGACAATTTGCCCCAGCTATTCCTTGAGGAACTACTAATGATGATCTAAGGATGTGTCTTAAGAACTCCATTTGGACAGTAGGCAATAAGGCATCAAACAAAGCTTAACAACAAATATACAAGTTATTTTTCCAAGGGGATCAATCTGCAACAGGTTGTGCTAAAAACTACTTAAAAATGGAGTGGAGAAAATGCCAAAAGGAGAACTACAGGTCTGATCGGTCTGCCAGGAAGATAAATTATTGAGCCTGTAAAGGATTTGATGGTAAACTGTATCCAAATATCCACAAAAATATCTATAATCCTACGGTGCTCAGAAAGCTTGTTATCCTTGCAGCCCAGAGCTATTTCACAACACATCACATTTTGTAAATAATTTATTTTGATCAGTATGAATAAATACTGTTGATACTGCTGATGTATTTTATTTTCCCTTTATACTTTTTAGAATCAATTTTCAAAAATAAAAAAAAGATTTTGTCATTTTAATAGGAATGAAAACACTCCCATGAAAAGCTATGTTTGTCAGCTAGTAACATCATAAAATTCCATGATTCGTTTTAGCAGATCTGTTTACCCTTGAACTCCTAAATCATACAATATCGTCTCAAAATCGTACAATACAGTATCTTAATAGTATAAAAATAAATATGCAATATATATATAATGTCTACAATATACAATAACTACTCAATAGTGGGATCGAGTTAAGCTGGCATAAAAAAAAGTAACTTCCAAAAGTAAATGAAATTAAAGTCTGATAACTACCACAAACTGTAAATGGGTGCAAGGAAGAGGCGATATTAAAAATCGTACAGCTGTTTTCTGCGTTCTAAAAATATTTTTCAAAGGTGATCTTAGATCCTATAAAATATGATGAAATCTAATGTCGCTGCACGGAACAGTTGAGAATGCATTCTCTAGTTTTCTCTGTTTCTGCACTGATTGCGGTTCAACTTAAAGAAATTCTTGTCACATTATTACATCGTACAGCATCAAAGCAAAAAAACGTGAGGGGCCATCTATATGGTACGACCTACTGTGACATACGAAGTAAAAAAAATTATTTTAGAAACACCCCCTCCCCTTGTTGCATGCATACTTTTTTATGACGACCGCCCCACTCCTCTTTTCCTATATGGGTTGCTGCTGCATGCTCACAGGGACCTAGAGAAATATTACAAAATGTCCATAATTTTATTTCCGCTTTTAATCCAATATGACATCTAGCGGTCATGGTTCAAACAGTAACCCACTTGAGTAACTAATGTTTGCAGTTACTAGATGACGCATGGTGACCTACATGCACGTTATATTTATTTTTACCCAACCCTTTACTTTATTTTGTTTATGTATTCGTTATTTCAAAGCGTACTTATTAGAATTTAGCACAGGGAGCCTGGTGAAAACCTGAATTTGGCATAGAGCTGGGAAACAAAAATTTTAGAAGCACTGGCGTAGCCCAACAAAAAATATACCTCACAACTCACAAGCACGTTGGAAATACAGTGGACTAAATATTACTGTAATATCTCTACTACTTAGTACTATCTGAGTATATCTAGCGAGTATTTGTGAAAATACATGGCAACATCATTACGATAATTCCTACAAAACATTTTGTGACAAAGTTACAGCATTGACAAAATATAAATAAGCTATTTTTGGACTTTCAGGATTAAAATTGTAGAATTTTAAAACAACGTGCACACTTTCTGCTGAGACACCCCCCCCCCCCACTCCCTAAGCAAGAGCATAGGCAAAATCTTAAAAATCAACAAGTTCGTGCCTTCTCGGTGTGTACGTACTATAAGGATGGCCCCCGGACACACTAAAATTGTCACTACGCTAATATTACTGTTGCTGTGTCCAACGAGTTTATTATGAAAACACAAAGCAACAATATGACCATCACCCTATCACCACGGAAATGTGGCGGTGTTAATTTTATAGATTTAAATATTTAGCGCCCCCCCCCATGCAAATACAAGTTAAAAATAACAACACAAAATATTGTTTTTCATTAATGTTTTTTTAAAATCATAAAACTACTTAAATGTATATATTTTTAACTGGGACTCTTAAAATCTTAGTTCTGACAGTTCTTGGCTTACAATCATAAAAGACATCTCAAAATCGTACATTGTAAGCCAAAATCGTAAGAGTGAACAGGTCTGATTTAGACATATCCCTATGCTCACCTGCTTATCTTATCCAACAAATCATTGGTTTTGGCAACACTCTTCTCTAATTCATCTGCCAAGGGATCCATCAAGTTCTGGGTTGAAAAATTAAAATAATTTTAGAAATTTACCTCACTTATGCATACTTATTAAAATATCTGTCTTCATCATAGGGTTTACCTATATTTTCCTAGTTGTGCTACTGGACAGGATTTGTAAGGTTTTTCTTGGGATTAAAAAAAAGAATTTGCACTTGACACAGGTCTGATTCAAAATGATATTTGGCCAAAAGTTAAGAGTATTTATTTAATATACCAATAGGGTAGATATAACAGGAATCCTTACATTATTAACTTTTTTTAAACAGCATTTAGTCAAAATGGAACCGGAAACACATCACCGCTATTCAGACCCAGGTCCCATTAGACTAAATACTAAATGCTATTCGGATGTCATTTGTGGTAGTTTATTTTAGTTAAACTGAAGAATTAGGTTTACGAACATATAGTCATATAGTTAGTAGTCCATTCAATAATTTATTATAATCTTTCATTCGATACCAAATTTTATTTTACAAACCCCACAATAACATTTTTAATATTTTTTAATAAACCCAACCTCTCACTTCTGATATCCGGTCCGAATAGCTGCAGCCATAGCCAACTTTGCCATACATTTAATTTATAATAGTGAATAGTAGGGGTGTGCCGGATCCGTTTTTTCCAACCGGATCCGGATTTTCTTATGCGAAATCCGCCGGATCCGGATCCCGTAATCCGGATTCCGGAATAATCCGGATTCCGGTTTCTCCCGGATTCCGGATTTTGGTACTATTGGTAGATACTTCGGTAAGTCAAGGTGGACTACTACTTTTTGTGTATGGGAATTTGCAATCGGCGCCAAAAAATCCGAGTTTTTAATTTTCCGATGTGTGTGTCTATTTATTATTAAATTAGTACTTTCGATATATATTTGAGTTCCGTTCCATTTGGATAAGTGTCTTACGAGAGACGCCATGTTTCTACGCGTTCGCAGCAGGTCATGCAGCTCGCTCAACCTAATTTCGCCATGGGGTTGGCCACGCCCCCCTTTTTAATGGCGGAAGTTGACGATACTTAGGAAATATTAATTTATTATCACTATTTACATCAAAATAATTGATAACTTGTGTTTCAGAATGCATTTAAAGACATTTAAACTGGAATGTTTTAATTTGAGCTTTAACAACCCGGTAGAATCCATATTATAAATGATCAGAATTTACCGTGTGCAACACGTTGTCATTGGCAACCATTCACAGCCACTTGCATAACTGTATCGTAGTACTACCTCAGAGTTTCATTCATAAGAGTTTGCCGTGTGCAAAAACTATTAAACCATTGGTCAGGGAAAGCTTTAATTAATTATTCATGTGCCAAAGTTGAAAGTTTAAACTAAGTCTAAACAGTATTTTAGTGATAAGGCAGGGAATGCGTTGCCTTATATAAACTATATAGTCATTGCGCATGACGGGATTGGTGGAATGAGATCACAGAATGTGGAGATGCAGTCCATGTTAAAAAATGACAAACCAAGTCGTACTTTAAAAATTCATAACTTTAAAACTACAACAGCTAAAAATATGATTTTGGTGTTATAATTCTTTAAAAAATTACATCTTTTCAACTATGCCATTGGTTTATTTTTACAAAAAGTTTAAATTTTCTTATCAAAGTCCCTACACTATTGGCCACTATTAGCGGTGCTGACTCTAGCCTCTGGTATGTACGGAATATTAAACATTAAACAAGCTCAACGCTCGAAACAATCGATTAATGTATCGTGATCGTGTGGAATTCGGGAAAGAGAATTACTTTTATTTCAGATTATGATCCGGTGAGTCACAAAATCTGGCAAATTCCGAAATCCGGTATATTCCGGATTCCGGAATCCGGTTGTTCCGGATACATGTAAATCCGGCGGAACCGGATTTCACCGGATAGTGCAAAATCCGGCGGAACCGGATTCCGGACCAGATTCCGGCACACCCCTAGTGAATAGTCTTGAATAATGGCCTAAATTCTAAAGGTAAAGAAAGGCAAAGGACCACCAAAGGACAATAAATAAAGGACTGCGTCAAGCTATGTGAAGAAATTTATGATTAAATAGAAATAAGATTCAGCATTATGAATTAGAATTCACAACACTACACTGTAGTCTACAGCCTACACTTATATACTTAAACTGATACTACTACTTACTACACTAAAATAATAATGTTAATACTAATTTAAATAAATTTACACACAATACAAATAAATCAACACTACTCTCTGAAATAGACATCTCCTCTTTAAAAAAAAAATTACCTTTAAAAACGTATTTTCCATTGATCGAGGTGCTACTTCTCCGTTTGAAATCTTTGGTTTAGATAACTTAGCTTCAACAAGTGTGTCTGCAACAGTTAATTCTTGTTCACTTTTACTGGACGATAAAGCTATCGCGGTTGCCATCTTGTTCGTTTACACGCTGGCAAACAAATCTAAATATAGCCATGTTGTCGTAAAATGTTATTTCTGGTGTCTCGCATGGCCTTTTATTAAAAATTTTACTAGACCATTTTAGCCAAGTACCCGGTAAATGAGAATTTTCCGATGCATTTATAATTTACATGTTATTTATTGTAATTAAAATAAAATTAAAGTCATGTTATTAAGGTAACAAAATGATCATATTTCCCTAAACTAAACAAGTAGTGAGTGACCCTTAAAATTAATCATCTTTATATATAGGCCTATTATTAATTAATGATTATTCTTAACATTGGGCAAGCTTTTTTTGGGGGGGGGGGGAGGGGGGGTTGCTTATTTCAAACTTATTTGTAGAACTAATTATATGTATACATTAATTTTTAGCGAATCATGACAACTTGTTGATTATTTCAACCTTGAAACATGGTAGTTCATAAATTGTACCACTTAATTGAGCCATATTATTGCGTAGCGGTGCATCTTCATTATAACACAAAAGTTGTCGTGGGCAAAAGGCATTCAAAGTTAAAACGTGTACCACCAGGGTTTCTTTCAGCTATATCTCCGGGGGGCACTGCCCCCCTGGGAAAACCCAAGTGCCCCCCCNCCCCGAAAAAATCTGAAGTGCCCCCTCGGGGAAAAAATTCTGAAATAATCACTGTGTACCACCATTCCACAGCCTTCTATGAAGTAAACTGTGGCCTTTAGATGAGATCTGCTTCCTTATTTTGTTAGAGATCTTTAACCGTTTTTATGCAGTCTATTACATGTACCATCATGCCTAGAAAATGGAAATCATAGGCAGTGGCGTAGGAAGAGAGGCGACATTTGTTCATTATAAGGAGGGCGGAATTTTTTTACAAACTGTTGTGGGGTTGTTTTTTTTTTTTTTTTCCTAAGAAGAGGGCGGCAATAATCTTGGCCCGCATCGGGCAGCACTTACCCTAGCTGCGCCTCTGTCACTGATCATAAGTGTATTTTTTCTTTGGACCACCACTCGGCCGCTCCAATCACAGAATTACCTCCCAACGTTTCTTGATGAAGAAAAGAATATCGTTCAGATATCAAGTGATGCATATCTCGATGGTCGAAAAGAAGAAGGGTGATTTAGATCGTGAAGATAGTAGAACTTCATCAAACAATGTTGATGAAATCGTTGCGGCTTTTTACACTTGGTCGCTTAGGTTTTCTGGTCAAAAAACTTCATAAAAAGGGTATTCATCCAACAGTTACTGTGGCAGCGGGACATCAGGAAAGCGTCGTTAAGCGTCCTGAACCAACGAGAGTCTTGGAGCTTGAAAGATTGGTAGAAACTCTGTGGTCTTATTGATATTTATTTATTGCCTGTTCGTCGCAAAATAAAGGAAATGAAGGTTAGAATTCAAATCATTGTAAAGATATTGAAAGTCTTTGGATTACAGACTGCTGACAGGTTAGCCAAAGCAGAAGCTCACGGGTTGAGAAAAAGAATTAATTCAAAATCATGTATGGGGTCGTCCATTAATTACGTCAAACATTTTTACGAATTTTTTTACCCCCCCCCTTCCACCCCCATGTCAACAACTATCAAACTTTCGATGACCCCCCTTTTTAATTATGTCAACATTTTATAACCCCCCCCCCCAACCCCCAACTCCCCCCTCAAAAAAAAAAAAGGAAAAGAATTACAATATAATTAAATTTATAATTACATTTTACTTTGTGTTGATCTATTTAAATGACACATAAAACTGCAGGGAAATCATTTTATTATATGTTTAGCTTGTTAATCAACAAGTTGAAACGTTTTTTACACTTAAATTTTATAATGCAGAATAAATTAATAGGGTGTTAAGGACTTAATATCATTGTTTGTGGAGTATACATGTGATTATTGTCAGTAAAGCTGACAATTAAAGTATAGACTCTAGCTGCTATCATCTTCCCATAGAGTAGCCAGGTGTTGCTGTATCGTAACAATGTGCATCAGGGACATCATTTGGGTAGGGTGGGGGGCTTTTGCCCCCCCCCTCCAGATTTTGCTTGTTTTATTTAAATTACTATGTAATGTGGTAATAAACAACTTAATAAGCGGACTAAGTTTTGGCCCCCCCCCCCTTTTTCCATTTCCCTGAAAAAAAACTGAAATCATACCCCTGATGGGCATAGTGTATAGTTGTTGATTCATCATTTTCATCGCGTGGAACTGATACACTAAACAAGTCAACATCATCCTTATCTAACCATTCAGCGCTAAAAATAGAAGTATTGTCGGTGTAAGCAATAATAGCCATAAGTTCTCTCTGCCTTTGTGTTGGAATAGTTGTTTTTGAACTCAGATGAGTGTATGTGTGTTGTTGTCTTTTTTAAAAATTGAACACCGTGTACAATGATGTGTTATTCATTTAGGGAGCGGATTAAGAGAAAAATGACAGGTGAAGAGATACCAACTTTTGACTTTTCTTGCACTAACAAAATGTGCTAACATTCTGATCAACCATCTGCATTGCACAGACAGACAAAGTTAAACTCTTATATTGTTAAAAGCCTAAACATGTATGAATATTTGCACTATTTAATTGTTTAAAATTATGTAAGTACAAATCAATTTTTAAAATTAAAATTGTAATAGAAAAACATGATTGATGACGTCAACTCCGTCAACTAATCTAACCTGCCCCCTCCCCCTTGTCAACAACTGTCAAACATTTCCAAACCCCCTCGCCCCGCCTATTTTGTTGACGTATTTATTGGACGCCCCCTATTCATTGTTTGATTGTGGCTGAAAAGTTATTGGGGACAACCTAAACTCATTAGTAGATTATTTATCAGCAAAACTTCTGTTAGAATCCACTATGAAAGATTTTAAGGCATGATGCATCTCAAAACAATGACACTTGGGGTGGTATTGTGAATGAAGTTATTGCGTTTGTAATTCCACTGAACTACGAGAAATACTACGGTACAAAGCCAGAAAGAGCTTAGGTGATGTACACACAAAATAAAAATTTATCAGAATATTTGTGATGTAAAACCGTTACAGAAATCACTCAAAATCATAAGCATTCAATGCGTACCATGCTTTTTTATATATATATATTTTTTTTTTGCGTGTGTAGACAAGTTAATTTCTGAACTCAGTTCTTGATTTACAGTTATCAGTAGTGTGTATTAAACGCAAGTTCATCAAACTTCGTATATCTTACTTGCGGTATTGATACAGTGATGATGCACCCACTACTGTCTTCTGAAAAGTCAAAATCAAATCATTATAAAAGTTGAAGCATTTTTGACCATTCAACAACTTTGAACATACTTTGAGTCGTTTTCCACAGGGTTTTAGTGAGCTCTTGAAAATAACTGACTTTGTCCTGACATTGCCGGTGACATCAGTTAAAAAGGAAATTTTTTTGTTTTTTAGTTTAATAAAAGAATAAAAAAAATACATCTCAGAAACAGATGTAGAAATGGTACCCTGGTGCGAATGGTGGCGCTGCGTATCTAGGTTCATTTTGACTCAGTGCTAAATGTCATTTGTGGTAGTTTATTTTAGTTGAACTGAAGTATTAAGTTTACAAACATATAGTCCACTCAATTATTCTTCATTTGATACCTCATTTTGTCTTGCAAACCCAACAATAAAATTTTAAATAGCTTTTTAATCCCAATCTTTCACTTTTGGTACACTGGTACGAGTAGCCACGGTTAATGGCTATTTATATCACTGAATTGTTTATCTACTTTGCTAGGTAACGGACTAAGGGTGTAAATGCCATGGCAACCGATGAAGAATTAAAAAGTAATTGATAAATCAAAATAGTTGCGGCAACACCACAACGATATCAAAAGTCAGGTTATTTCCGGTTAATGTTCGCAACATTGCACTTCCTATATTACAAGACTGATAACAAGAGGTAGGGACTCGACATACATTCTAGATAAAATTTTAAAAAAGTGTTAACAGAATTAACGCCTTTTTGGGTTTAACTTCAGTGAATGTTTTAATAAATGATAACTATCGAGTGATTTGAAATCATTATCCTGCAGGGATATTTGCATCATGATTATTATTGCCGGCCGGGTACAAAACCAAAAAAATGATATATTTTTATTAAAACTAGACTAGAAGTCGCTCTGAGTAGGGTTACCATGTGTTTACGGGTTTCCCCAGACATGTCCTCTTTTTAGGCCACTGTCCAGGCAGCTTTACAGAATTATGGCTTTTGTCCTGGTTTTTCACATGTCCATCACTTATCACCAATCGATATCTTATTACTTTTCCATGTTAAATTATAATTATATACTAAAATTTTTAATGAGGACATATGTATGTCCATACCAGATCTGATGGGAGGCTGTTCAATATCGCCCGCCTTTGCGCAAAGACCAAAGTAAAAAAGGTGATGATTCGTGAACTGCTTCAGGGGCTGGTTAATCGTCTATCACAATCACACGCTTGTAAAGATTTTGGACTTTCGATTAGTCTACAGAAAACTCATGTAATGATGCAAGAAGCACCGTTCCCTCCAATCAAATCTATTGAGGGTCATGATCTTTCGGTTGTTAAGCATTTCACATACCTTGGATCAAATATTTCTAGTTCTCTCTCCCTCGATGAAGAAATAAATATCAGGATCCCAAAAGCAGCAGCAACTATGGCTAAACTGAATAAGCGAGTGTGGAATAATCTTAATCTAACTGATAAAACAAAAATAAGTATCTATCCGGCATGTGTGCTTAGTACGCTCCTATTTGGTAGCGAAGTGTGGACCACATATACCAGTCAGGAGAGGAACGCAACAGCTTCCACCAAAGATGTCTGTGTTGCATTTTACGCATGCATTGGCATGACAAGGTGCCTAACACGGAGGTCTTGAAACGTGCACACATATTTAGCATATTCTCCTTTTTTAGCAAGAGGTGCCTTCGGTGGTTAGGCCACGTAAGGAGAATGGAGGAAGGCCATATCCCAAAGAGGCTGCTGTATGGAGAGTTGGCAGAAAGGACAAGACTTATTGGACGGCCACACCATTTTAAAAAATATTACGAATGCAACTTCATTATAATTCATAAATAATTATTTTTTCAAAATAAATAAAAACTATTTGATTTTTAAAAAATGAATCATAAGTGTTTATTTACAGATGCACTTAAAAAACCCAAACTACCCAAGTTTTGTTGCAGTTCATTATGATTTGGAAGCTGAAGTTTGACATGCGGCAACAGAACTTATATCTGATGTTGCACTGAAAAAATCAGTCAGTGTAATGTAATGTGTACTAAACACTCATTTAATACAAGTTTATAATTGAAACTATTTACATTAATTAATAACAATATTATATGTAGCTTAAATTTACCTTTATTTGTACAACACTCAACATTTGCGTAGCTCTAGGAGCCGGCTATGGGTTGATAACCACATTTGATTAAAATTTTGAGTGTCCTCTTTTTCATCTGAGGACATATGGTAACCCTAGCTCTGTGTCAGTAGAGTAAGTTGAGTAAGAGTAAGCCTAATGTACTAATTTAAATTAGGCAGCACTAGGCCTAGGTAGCAATAATTAACATATATAATTTTATATTAATTGAAAAGTTAGTTTCATAACAGTTTTCAGTTGTTTAAAAGGAACAAAAACAAAGATTACATCTTTTTAGTTTTTTTTATAGAGTAGTGAATCATTTTTTAAGCTTTAAATTTAAATCTTAAACATTGTCATTGATTCTCATTAAATTAAGGGGCCCTTCATAAATCATAAAAGGCATTAGGCATCAAGGGGAGTGGGTGTCTCTCATTTGTGATGATCTATTGTGGGGGTGTGACAAATTGGGGGGGGGGGGGGGGAGGGGGGGGCAAAAGCGGCAAAAGTAGGTGGCATTTATCGATAGCCCTCCAATAATTTTCGTACAATAACAAAATTTATTAACAATTTGGAAAGCAGGAATTACAGTGCTTTCCACAAAAATGAGTTAGAAGTCTTTATTTATTGCTCTATGTGAATTCAAAATAGACTAGTTAGTTTTAAAGGAATTCAATCATTACATTTAGAAGCTTGAAAAAGTTAAATCAGATGTTTTGAAAACCCTTGTTTTGTGTACCTATTATTTAAAGACATAGTAAACTGGTAATATTTTTATTAATTTATGTCTTCAGTTTGCCATTAGCATGTGGCAAAAAGAAACCTATTTGATTAATCCACATGACTTATAATGCTATTAAAAATCTAAATTATCAATGTAAAATTTTGTCTCTTTCCAGTTAAAGCTGCAAATTTTTTTCAAGGTGACATTTTGTACTAAAGCTTGAAACGTTGAAGAGGATTAAACATGAGTCGTGAAAGGGAGACCATAAACATTTCAAATGCATCTACTTTAACAAATCTTTTCTACTTGTTTTTCCATGGAGGAAAAGCAGCAATCATCCCCTTTCTAACCTTGTTTTTCAGACTAGTGGGGCTCAATGCATTTGAAGCAGGTATAATTATAGCTGCTAAAACACTTACAGCATTAATATGGGCTCCACTGTGGTCCAGGTGTGCGACGGCTTACAATCATCACAGACTTGTGCTTATATTGTCTCTCTTTATGATGATGGTTACATATCTTTCATTTCCTGCTCTTTACACACAAATTTCAAAAGCAGAACACTGCATGGCACCAGGCAATATCAACAGCAATAGTTCGACTGACAGCCAGAAACTCACTGGTGGTCCACAAACACCACCGGCCAATTACAGCATTAGTAAATCCAGTTTCAGTATTTCCACCCCAGTCAGCACAATTAATGTGACAGAAAAGGTTGAAACATCAAGCATGATTATACCTCTTGAAGTCTCCCATTATACAGCAGAGCCAACAAACGTAACAAGTTTCGAACCGTCAGAAAATGAAACGGATCATTTATCACGAAGAGATTTATACAGCTTCTCAAGCCATCCAACCACAGATAAAGATCAGAATGTGATCCAAGCTTTGTCCACATTTAACACTAGTGATACAGAGGCTCTAGACCAACAGCTGCAGTCAATCTTAAAGGCACTTAATTTTGATTTGGATGAATTTTTAAAAGCTAATTTGTCCTTAAATGAGTTGACTACCCTAATGAACATTGGACGAAATTATTCAGATCAAATAACAGAAAAGCAAGCAGAAAAATTATACAGACAGCTGCATGAGCTAGGAGAAGCAAATGTAGCAATCCAGGTTGGTTGCTTCACCTTTTCCAGTTACATATTCTTTATAGCTTAATTTTGATAGTTTCAAAGTTAATGAAACAGGAATTCATAGTTTGTCGCCTGGAAGGTAGTAAGGAGCTCACTACTGAAACTTATTATTTTATAGCACTTTTTTGTGTGTGACTTGATGAATTAAATATTCATATAATTTTCACTACTAAATTCATTGTTAAATGAAATGTTTTCCTATTATTTTAAATTATCTTTAGTCAATTACCAAATGCAAGATTTAAGTTTCATTGCAACTTAGACATACCTTCACGATTATTTCTTAAAAAAGAATACATTTTTTATTTTACTCTTTAAATTATTAGCATGGTTTTGGAAATATTTGTCTAAATTTAAAAAGTCTTGTATTTCAGGTGAAGGAGAGATCAGTCAATAATGAGAGGTACAAAAGAAGTGATTTGGTTGACACACTGAAGGAAAAACTGCACACAATTCAGGCTACCCTTCAGGATGACAGGCTGCTACTTTTTCTTGTCATATTGGCCATCATTGTGGTAGGTGAGATATTTGCCTCTCCTGTTGAGAAAGTTGCAGATGACTCATGGTTTGACTTTTTAAGTCGTATTGATGACTTGGAGCGCTATGGTCAGCAGAGAATCTGGGGTTCTATAGCATTTGTTCTCATACCTGTCGTGGTTACAGTGGCCGTTGACCATTCCCCTTGTTTTCTCCCCTTTCAAATTCACCATTATTTTCTTCACTTTTACATCTTTGCTGTTCTAATGGCTGCAGCAATTGTAGTTTCTTGTTGTTATCCTGTGCCTCCTCCTGCCAATGGCAAACACACTTCTAAAATCTGCAAAGGTATTCGTTTAATCTGCTGTGATGGTCATGGGTTTTTATTCTCAGTCACACTTTTACTCACTGGCATGGTGTATGCTTCATACCACAACTTTTTATTCTGGAGAATTCAGGACCTTGGTGGCTTGGAGACAACCATGGGGCTTTGTGTTTCCATTGGTGCCTTTGCAGAAATACCGATGTTGATTTTAAGTGGCAACTTAGTTAAAAAGCTTGGACCTTCTTGGATGGTGTCAGTCTCGTTGATCATCTTGAGCCTTCGTGTGTTATTCTATGCCTTCAATCAAGAACCTTGGGCATTTCTCCCCATAGAGCTGTCACATGGCATCACCCACACAACTTTATGGTTTGCCATACTGAGTTATGATGATTTCAATATTGGTGCTTCTGTTGACAGAAGTCTTCGTACCATTCTTTCTTCTTTCTATTTTGGAATCGGTTTCTCTGCAGGTAGTTTAATTTCTGGGTTGGTTTATCACTTTTATGGCTCAAGTGTTCTTTTCTGGGTGGGCAGCGCTGTTATTGGGGGGTGGTGTGTAATCTTTTCCATTGTGCAGAAGTGCATGCCCAAGAAAGAAAAAGTGCGATATATAAAGTTGCTGCGGAGTGAATCTGATAACTCAGATGAAGAAAATGAGGATTGGCTAGAAATGGCTCTCAAGGATCACTAATATTTGATGAAATGCTTTATGTATTTATTTGCTGTTAGTTTTGAATTTAAAAAATAAAAATTAATTTATGCGTAGTGAGACTATCATTTTGAATCCTATTTTCAAGAAATATTCCCACACTATGTTTGTAATGTAAAGAAAAAAGATGAAATATTGTAATCATTAAATAATTGTACTTTTCCTCAAGTACTTTCAGGTTTTTTTAGTTTCTTTTTTCTTAAAAAAAGTATTTCTATTGTGACCATCAATGATCTGCAGTATTTTATTTTGACATCCATTTTTTCCCATTACGTTCTTATGTTTATACTGTTCCATGAAGTTCTTATGTTTATACTGTTCCTTGAAATCATCTAGTTAACATTACAATTAGAATTTAATTTCTGACATTTAAAAAGAGAGATTATAGTGGATAATTTAAAATCACGATATTGAGAGTTTTACAGCATCTCCATATGTCTTTATTATTATCTTGTTTTATTTTTTTGATGTATGTTTAATAATGTTTTTTAAAAAGGAAAAAAAAAAAGAATTCCACTTTGCCAGTCAGCATCATATTAATTATTTTAATGAATTGTTTCCCTTACATACATTTTAAGAACTATTAATACCATGACCCATGTATTCAAGCTTTTTTGTTTCTTACAATGTTTTCATTGGGATCATTCCAATTTATTATTAATAATTAAGATTTGTGATTTTACAATTTCCTTTTGTTTTTAAAATTATTTTTTAAATGACCTCACTGTGCAATTGTTTTATATGATTCCAGATTTATTTTGTTTCAATTTTGATGTCATTTCAAAAGGTTGCCTTTGAAAACATTCCCCCTCCCCCATTTTTTGTGCAATATTTTAAAAAGTAAATGCAAAGTATTCCACTTTAAATTGTATTATAATTTGTTGTTGTGTCTATTAAAATAATACAAATTGTATTCCTTAAAGACGCATTTACAAATATGTGGTTTGGTTATCATAGACTCCCTAAAATTGTATATTTATTGATGAGGGATAATATTTGCCAGTGGTGCTTTCCTTTTGGTTACATTAAAAAACTGAATTTTTTTTTTTAAAACTAATCTAGTCAACACTCGGTACATACAATGAGAACATATAAAGATATTATTATTTTTAAATTGAAAGTTAAAGCGATGCATACCTCTTCTGTTTGAAATTTTTAAAACTTTAAATACAAGAATATTTTTTTAAACATTTGCCCGTACAAATGATATAGATTATACCTTAGAAATGTTTAACTCCATGATGTTCCTTAATCTCACTATAATCTACTATTTGCATGATGTCATGAAATCAGATTCTATAAAGTTGACATGTATTATGATAGAAATCTCTATCAAAATTCAAAAAATTAAGTCAGTTATTATCATTTTATTGAACTTGTCCATGTGCAATCTGAATTATTTCATATCTAATTGAAAAATAAATCATAATAGTTCCAAGTAATACTAACTATAGAGAAAACAAAACATAACAGATGACATTAATTTCTGACTTGACCCTAAAATTTTATCATGTTACTCACCGTTTTCTCTAGCTTACAATTAAATTTTAAAAAAAAAAAAAAATTCTTCCCATTTCCATTTTCTGGAGCATAACATATTTTTAAAAAAATAATTAATTTGTAATGAAGTTCCCAACTTCAGTCTGAATGAAGAAATGGTGTTATGGTCTAAAGTCTTTCTTTTTATTTTTTTGGGTCTCTGTGACTCAGCTGGTGGCTTATAAGAAACTTAAATTTCATTTCCCTGTCAGTGCACGGCTCAACAAAATAAATATAGGCTTCCATAGCGTCCGTATGGACATGTGTGTTATATGAATGTCAAATGTTGTTGGGCTATGTGAAAATATATTATTATTATTATGTTACCATAATATTTTCTATATACTGAGATTGAAAGTAGTGTTAAAAAGCTCAACTGTTACAATAATTATACTTCCATCTCTACGTGAAGCATTGCTTTTAATTCATTATTATATTACAAGCCTTTTTTTTTTTTTTAAATCGGTGTTCTTGTTCATAATTTGATGTTATTAAATAGGATTTACAAAACAGCAACATTTTTAATTGTCCATGGACATTTTATGCCCCAGATGTTTTTTAAAATATTCTAATGTGCCTTAAATTTAGTGCCAGACATTCCTAGCATGACATGCTGTGGTTATTATCAGTTGTATGTACTTACAGAGAATGTTTTCACAGCTGTGCATCATTGCCCTCACCTTCTGACTTTTTCATTATAATTACGCTGTACAAATGTATACATTTCTTTTTGCTGTTACCATTCAAAATTATTTCAGACGTTTTTTTTTTTTATGTGGTGGTGAGGTTAAATATATGCAAACTATATTAAAGTATATTTCTTGTAGTTAGTGTCACAGAAGTATGTTTAAAAATATTGCAGAGTATTGGCAAAATAATTTAATTTTGATTTAGACCAGGCCTGCACAACTCAAAATGTAAAGGGGGGGGGGGGCTGTTATATTTTATGAAAAACTTGTGAGGGTCGAAAGAAAATAGGCATTAGGAGCTATTAAGTATAATCAAAATAATAATAAAGAATATTTGCTACTTCGTGGGTCTCAAAGTGGGTGCTGGCGGGCCGCAAGTGTATATGTTGTGCAGGCCTGATTTAGAAGGGAAGGTTGGTGGGATTTTTTTAATCTGTGAGTGACCTTGGATAATTTATTTTATTTTTTTTAAATGCAAGAATTTTTTTTCAAATTAAGGGAAAGGGTATTATTTTTACTTTGTAGACAGACACAAACCATTTACATATGTCAGCTTTAACCACCCAGTATTTATAGAATAGCTTGAAAGTTTTGTTTAGTTGATAGATCTCTATCTCTTACTTTTGATCTCATTATCCCAAATCTCTGTGACTTTGATCCACCAAGACATCTTTTTGCAATGAAAATGTTTAAATTATAATTAGCTGTACAGATGTAGTTTCAGAAGAAATCTTTATAATTGATTAATTCTAAAGGCTGTGCTCAAATTCTGCAAGAACCGCTCCATACCTGTCAGTGCTCATGTATGTACAATTACATTTATCGTGACAGTTTAGTTGCATAATGTTATAGTTGAGCTCTTTGAAACTTCGCTGATATTTCTAAATGAAAGCTTAAAAGCACACCAAGTTTTATCTCCTTCTTTGCTGTCAAACTAGAGTTTATGGCCCTTAGTCTTGCAGCCAATGAAACCAGAGGGATGAAATGTCAGTCTTTGAATTTAGGTCAATGTCAATGGTTCTTTTTTTTAATTCTTCTTTATCCGTGTTTCCACTTTGTTGACTTGAGTGCAGATATTTTATTTTTCAAAATGCATGCACCCTGCCCCTACATTTTCTTTACCCATAAATATTTCTGTTAATATCTACACAACATTTACAAGGGTATACATTTAATAATTTTAATTTCATGGTTGTTATTCTTTTCATTTTTTAATATAGTACATTTACAACCTTGAGACTTTTAAAACCGAATTCAGATTCATCTTAGTAATGTGATGTAAGATGTCATTTGATGAAAGGTTTGGGAAATATCTGGTGAGGTTGCGAAGGGGGCAGCCCACCCCCGCCCCGTTCTCACTTTTTTCTTTAATGGAGGGTGGCAATATCAGCCAACTTTACAGTGTTTATTAGTGGAAGGGGCTGGCATATTTCTTGGTCTACCCAGGGCGGCACTACTAACTACAATTACTTTAACAACACCCCCCCCCCCCAGAAACGCCAGTGTGTATTCGTTAGGAGCTTTCATTTCAATGTAGTCTGCTTTATTTATTTAATACAGCGGTTCTCAACCTGTGGGTCGTGACCCCTTTGGGGGTCGAATGACCCTTTCCCCAGGGGTCGCCTAAGACCACCGGAAAACACATATGCTCTATAGTTAAGACGTACCAGCGAAAATAATAAGGAAGGGTTGAAAACCGCTGATTTAGTACGAATGAAGATTGTTCATTGTTAAACCGGTACATCAGATGTCTTCATCCTCCTAGCAGTTCTTTACAAAAACCCATTTTTTTTAAAAATGTTTAGTTTTTTGTACCGTTATACGGTAGAATATTAGATACTTTTAAAAAACTGACTGTTTGAGAAATAAGTCTTTGTTCATATTAATATTATTACAGTGCATCTTGTAATACTTGTATAGCCTCCCATATTCAATACCACGGTATAGAACGTTAAGTATTCTCTGTCTGCAAGGTTCATCAACAGCTCTCCTATTTTATCCAGCGTGTGCACAGGCACGCCGGCTCACACTAGTCACACACGCACACCGGTGCACACGCGCACCGGTTCAGATGAAACCCAATCAAAAGACCGACTGGTCCCATTGGGAGTGTGTGATAAATACAGAATTCAAAAATAGCTCTCTCTTAACTGCAGTGCCCCTACTGTTTACAAATGAAGCTTCCAGCCGTCAAGACATTCCTTTCTATTATAAGACGTTTTCTCTAAACTACAGGTTGTTGTATTTTGTTTCAAGCCTGTAAATAAGGGATCAAATAAAGCCTTGAAAAAAAAGATGGGGGGGGGGGGGGCCTCCAGCGGATTTACCCTAAAAGAACACGCAGGACCAGGTGTTAGCTTACATCTTACAGAATAGCTCTTATTTTAATGGATGTGTGTAGCTGGCGTGTAGTGAGCTCGTCCTACTGTTCAGTACAACAACAAATCCAAGTGCTTGAAATTTGTATTCAAGAATAAAAACAAACACTGTATGTTCATGACTCTCATATAAATGGGATCGTTAAAAAAAATTCATGTTTGCTCAGCTATATTTAAAAAAAAAAAAAAGTGCAATTCAATAAATTTGTTTTTCTAGTCAGCGTTCCCGACACCGCACAACATGAATATTTATGGTCAAACAAAGTATTATCAAGAAAATGTATGAAATAAATCGGGGCACCGGTGCCTGGTTTGTTTTCGAAACATGTCCACTAGTTCCGCCAAACTTAAATTTTGGGAAACGCTGATCTAAGTAGCATAGTGCCTTCCTGAAGACATCGTATCGACGGCCGAGAGATTATTCCTGGCATCAAAGACTTGTTACATTCTAATTTCAGATGTTACATTCTAATTTCAGATTTATAGATTCTATA